AAATATCTAACATTACTAAAAAAAAAAAAAAAAAAAAAAACAGAGCTTAGAGAATATACCTTCATTCCTTTTATTATACATTTTTTGATCTAACCAATTAGAGAGTTAAAAACCTATGATAGTATTAATCAACCATCCAAGATATGCTATTTACACCTATGAATGAACTACACATAATTTAAATTATTATACCCATGTACATAAATTGCTATTAAGACTGTGAACGAACAACTCGGTTTAGATAACTTATACCTTTGGTCGTGAACAACTACCACAACAACGAACAAACAACCAACTATTTAGATTTGTTATACCCAAGGCCACAAACGACTATCTCATACTTACTACCCAGGACTTTAGATATAGTACCAATGAACATTGAACAACTTGCACTTGAGAAACTACGACCAATAGATCCACAACAACGTTGAACAATAGAGACTTACCGTTATAGAAGAAAAAATATATAGTTGGATCCAAGAAGAAATATATAGTTGGATCCAATTTAATAAATAGAATTCTGGTTGGTCTTCAAAATTATGCCTACAAAAAGTGAATGATTTATTCTTTTTACCTACATTTTTTTAATCTAAATCTTCCCATCACAAGTTTAGCATAATACACTTAAATAAAATCCTCAACGATTATTTTTTAGATGTATAAAAATTAGAACAAAAAATTAATATACAAGGATAAAACTGAACGTTTCAAAAATAAATTTGAAAGATTATTTTCTTTTATAAAAAAATAAAATGAACAATGAAAAATAAAATAAAAACTTCATCCACCAATAACTTAAGATTCATATTATTTTGCATGTGAAATTGGAATTAAATTAATAATGATAATTAAATAGAGAATAAATTCTAACTGCTAAATAAAGAGGAAAAATAAATAACAAAGAGAATAAAGTCTAAAAAATAAAAATAAAATTATTGTTCGTTTCAAAGATCAACTAAAGACTAATATTAAAATAGGAAAAGGACTACCGAAGAAAATCAACAAAAAGAATGAGAATCAGAATATTAATAGGAGAAATTTAATTGCATCACCCAGAGCATAATTATTTACATTTAATAATATATATATATATATATATATATATATATATATATATATATATATGTATATATATATATATCCCTTGGAAGATTGATTAATTTTTTTTCCTTAATGCATGAGGATAGAATTCTCTTATGCATCGGATTCCAAGATGTTTTGAAAAACTAAACCATCTCAAAAGATAAATAAAAACTAACCCATCTTTTGTTGTTATTCCCTCTCGAATCTTTGATAAAGAAATCACTCCCGTCAATTTCGATCATAAATCCTCGATGTTTTTCAACATGGAGTCCACATCTGGTGTTAAAACGGCACGCTTGCTGAGCTCCCCGACAATGCAGCAACGCTTCCCTTCCACATTGATAGCTGCAAGCTCTTGTGCAAAGCCACAATCCATTCCAGAAGAAACCTGCCCGTATTTAAAATCTGATGTGAGAAGGAACACAAAAACCCAATAGATTTGAAACTTCCAGAAAGCTGATGCGGAGATTTCATGCTTTTAATACAAAATACTTCATCTCAAGAGACCAATCCAGTTGATAATTAAGTAGAAGAACAATACTCACATCGTATACGATGTCGCCGAGTTTTAACTTGACAGCGCCACTCCTATACACAAGCAATTTACCCATGGAGCCAGAAGGGAACTCATTCAGTGAGCAAGTTTTCTGTGGAGGTTGTGAATCTTTATTTTGTTCCAAGCTGTTGGCTGCTTCCATGCCTTCGGCAGTAGAAGATTGCTCTGTCACAGGCACCATAGGTGGTAATTGTAGAAAAAAGATGTTTGTTTCTGGATTATCCTCCTGCCAATCAACCATGAAGCGAAAAATTGGAAACAAGAGGCTTACGCTATGCTGTCATCCATCGAATCCATTGACTAACCAGTAAACCAAGATCCATTGCAGGAGTTGTTGTATTTTCATCATAGGTTCTGGATTCTGAAGCCTCTCCAAATTCATACTCGTTAAGAGAATCTATAAAGTAATACATAAAACTTAGAGCAGATAACTGATGCAGAAGATGCAGGTACACTTTTCATGGATTCAATAGGAAAACTGTCTATAAGTGATAAGAAATATGCAAAAGTGCATTTCAGACTAATACAATTTTAGCTTTTGTAAATAAGAACTTATAAAGATACCTGGATTTCCTGAATATGGTCTCCGTAAAGGAAGAGTTACAGGATAATAACTGTAATAATCCTGCAGTGAAATGAAATCGAATTACTAAATCGACATACTAATGTTGAAGGCAGATGCAAGAACAGGAACTGCAAAGGAAAGTAATTGAGGATTTGTATGTTTTACTGACCCACGGTTCTACATACTCCCTAGACGGAAGAGTTCCATCTGCATGATCATCTTGCAGTTTAGTGCATCGAAAACATCTCACATGTGGCAAATCAAGCAATTACATCTTGAATAGCGTAGATTTTAGTAGTTTAGTATCGAACCTTCATTTCTGAGTTTATTTCCAGCTTTTGAAAAACCAAATGTTCTTAAGGAGCTTGATGTGCCTCCAGTACCAAATGCAACTTGTGTAGGTGCCGCTGCACATTCAAATAACAGACATACAAGAAATTGAGACATGTTAGAACCTTAAACATAGTGCAAGTAGATTTCAAATGTTTGTAGGGTTCACAGAAAGTTCACCCCATTCCCCTGATATGCTAGGTAGTACAGTTGGGGAAAAACCACATAATCTATAATTAATATGTTGATTCATATTATCAGACTCCACGGATCAACCTACAACTTCATTATTACTCTGGCAATATGTTTAATAAACTTTAGTCCAAATAGAATGGTAGAAAATCCTGTAATAGAACTGC